CTATAAATTTAAATTGAACTTTTTACAAATTGGAGTAAGGAATTTGAAACAACCGACTCCGATAATTGAAATGATCAATCCTTTTCCTAATTTTTGTGACAAAATTGAGATGTTATGTAAGAATTGATATTTTGGTAGTGTGAATAATTCTATTACATCTTAAAATTTCGTGTAAATGTGATCTGAAGCAACGAATAACAGTTTTCTAAACCGGAAGCAATCTGATCGTAATCTTCTTTCTTCTTTTTTTGGAGTGGTTATTGAAAGGTGTTATTAAAGTTTCAAAATTAGCACCACTTATAGGTACCACTTTTCTGCTGAAGCTACAAACACCTTTTTTAGCACAACCGGCACGTAAGATCTTTCTACGCCACCGCTAGTATTTTAAAGGGAATTTTAAAACCAGAAAAGGAAAGACTAGTTTTAAAAGATTAAAATAATTTATTTATGAGTAAAAAGAAAAGACAAATGAAAAAAAAAAGAGAGTTTTTTCCCAATTAAAAGTTAGTTCCAAATCTAACACTTTGATGGAATTGAAATTAAAAATAAACTATCACCTCTTTGAAGAGCTTTTACTAAAACACCGGGCGGCAGATGAACTAAAGGATGAGAAACGGATCGAGAACTCGTTGAGACTTTGAGAATTAAATTTCCGGCGATAACTAGTAGTAAAAAATAGTGGCTTATATAAGCGAAAGGAACCATCCTCTGGGTACCACTTTAGAAATTCATTGGCTACCCCTCAGTACCGGGCTTGCGAGAATCGACAAAGTCGAAGATCTCCAACCTTCTTAGCTTTCAGCGATTCGCTGAAAGTACCCTCCTTCGAGGAAATTATGAGTAAATTCTTTGTATTCAGACGACAGGGTTGATTTAGGATAATAAAGCCCTACTGTTAGGATAGGAATCCATTTTACTTAGCTTTCGGAAGTCGTCTAAAAAGCCCTAAATGTCGATGAAAAGGTTTGTTTACTTTCAAATAAATATCAATTGTCAACACTTAGGAGTTACGTAATTTCCATTATTAAAAATTATGCAACATCACACATCACTTTCACAGCCCTTAAATCGCTTTTCCACCCTTATTTCCTCTATTTTTCACATTTTCCGGTTGTTTATTTTCCGCCGATTAAGTGTGGTTACAGGACCACTTGTTGTTTCATTTCAGGCAGCACTGTTGCCGAGGTTCCTTGACCACTGTGGGTAATAGAGTCACTGTAGTTGTGACCCCTGAACAGTCACTGGTCATTTTGATAGTTTTTTGACTGAAGACTTAGTAGATGTTGGTTAATAACTAATTAATTAGTGTCAATTGGTGTTGGGGGAGAAAATCGGATAACAACTTTGGGTTTCGTTGTCATCAATGTGATTTGGGTTTTTCCGTTTTCCTGGTCAAGAGCGGAAATCTGGCACCAGAGGGCATCTTGGAAAAAAATGGAATTCTAGAAAATTTTTCATAGTGAGCTCACCTGATAAATTGCCGAAGAGGGATCGTTCTCTTTTAAATTCACACGTTGAGCAAACAACGAGTGGCAGATTTTACCAGCGGTCCTCTTTGTTAAGTTCCTTGGAACATCCACCTTTTGTGGGATTTTGGAGGCGTTGGAAACTCAAGTGGTTGCTGGCTTAATTGGTTTTGGGGTGAACTTGGATTTGGTCGTAAGTCCCCGTATTTACTCGGAATTTTCTAGAGACAAGAATCTACGCCATTTTGTTCGTTTGTCGTGTGAGCACAGAGCACGTTTTTTTCAACTAGCCCAAACAGTAACCAGGTAAATTAAATAGTTTTCATCATTCTGAATTTACCTTTTCGTTATCAATATTTAGTTTAGCTTATCAGTATTTTTGTGAATATTTGGGATTCAATAAAAAAGGGAATTTGACCTCCACGAGGGGCCATTTGTCAGTAAAAAACTCATTAGTCGTTTCCAAAAGGGTCATTTATGGCCTTATCAATTAAGGGGTTTTTGTGAAGTCAAGAGAGGTTTCAGGGGATTTTGCTATTTTAATTCTTCAATTCCAATCATTTATATACCATTTGAGGGTTGGGATTTTCATTTTTATAAGTATGAAGGAGTTCTAAGAATTGTACTCTTTCAGGGTTTTCTTAGGATACTAAATTGTACCTTCCATTGGGTTTTTCTCTTTCGACGTTTTTGTGAGGTGTCAGAGTACCCACAATACTGAATTTTGAACCGAAATATACCCTATTTAAGAACGGAGTCAATAGAAGTTGATAGGGTCTGTTATCCAGGCTGTGAGGCTGTCAGGAGACAGTTATAGAAATGGGTGTTTAAACTGCAGGGAGGACCACAAAGGGGTGATGTACCCGTAAATTTATTAACGTTTCTTAATTATTATTAATGGTATATCTTATATTTACTTGGTATATTTCCAAGGTTGTTTTACTGCCTTAATTATTACAATGGGTGTACAGTAACAATGATTTTTAATGTACTATATTTAAGGTGACATTTTTGTACAAATCCGCCCCGGTATACCATGGTATATGCGTGTACAGGTTTTAATTTAATAATATTAACATCTTTATTTAAGTAAGTATATATATATATATATATATATATATATATATATATATATATATATATATATATATATATATATATATATATATATATATATAATTGGAGTAAGGTGGTCAAACATTTTATTGGTAAATCTTAAATTTATTGCAGTGTCTTTTATAAGGCCACATTGGTCCTTAGGTACTACATTTTGGTAATTCTCAAATTTCAAACAGTTTAAGGATTAATTTTTGCACATACCGAGCGCTTCGCACCGAGGTTTATAATGCGTAAGGTATATAATGACTTTCTATACCGAGGAATATATAGATTTTTTTTTACTACTGCTAGTGAAAAACAAAAAATAGGTCTGAAATCTGTGCTCAAATTATTATCTCGTCGAAAGTGCTGCCCTCTATCAACAGTCTATGGTAATGATGTACATATAGGAACCTATTGTTTTTCAAATTGACAGTTTGAAACTGAAAATAAACCAATAAAAACCTGGTACGTCATGACAATATCCTTACTTCATGTCATTATCATTATTGACCTAGTTTTTTTTTCATTATTTTCATTATTAACCTAGGGAGAGAAATTCAATTTTTTCCTAGAAAAATAGATTGAATAATGTCTACTTCTCAGGTTAGTAGTAAAAAAAAATTGTTATTGTATCTTAAAAATCCAGGTCATGCAAACATTGCTTCGCTCCACACACACATGCTTCGAAAATAATTCTTTCCAGTAACGGTAAGTTACCTGACATCTGGGTTCGTCATAAAACGTGGGTATTCAGAAGATTATTATTGACTTTGAATAAATTATTACAACCACATGGGATCTGGTTCAGTCGACAGATTAGTTTAAAGTTTAGTGTTTACCTAGGAAAACATACATTTTACCTATATATTTGTCAATTTTGGGTCACAACAATAATAATCTTGAAGCGATAAAATTCGATACTTTTCTGGCTTTCAAGTGATTTTTACCATCGAACAGATAAGGTCGTTCGCAGAACTCTATAAAAATGAAACTTTTTTCCATAAAAGATAAACTTGTATCAAGATTATGAATTTACTATTGATTTGGTTACATTTTGTACCCAATAACTTATCCAGAACATCATCTATCTCTCCAACTACCGCATTCAATAATTCCCAAACATACATGATTCAAATTGAAACTGATGAAGTTTGAGTTCTATGATTAATATTTAAGTTGTTTGTTACTCAACAATATTAGTTTTTAGTTTTGTTATTTGTACAAATTTATTAAATTAAATTAAATTTGTACATATTCAACTTGGTATTTGGGAATGACATAAAGGTTAGTGTGGGAGACAAATACCCTCTCCCAAATATATCCGACCTTTTAGATCAATTAGAAAAGTGTCAGTACTCCACCACACTTGACCTAGGTATTTCATAAAATCTAAATAGCAGTTATTCCCAGTTGCTTTTACAGTAGAAAATAATCATTTCGAGTTTGTCCGCATGCCATTTGGTCTCAAAAACGCCCCATCAACATTTCAATGAGTCAACATTCTTCTTGGCATCTTGGTAGTTTTTAAAGAATGTCAGCTAGTTAATCACACAACTTGCTATAAGAAGTTAATAATAAAAAAGCCATTAAAAAAGTAGGTAAGTGTTTCAATAATAAAATACAGAAAAATTATTAAAACTTTAGAATAAGTATCCTCTTAGATCGACGTTGTACAAAACCATTCAATCTCACCAAGAGTCCTTTTAATATTTGATTCTCAATTTATTTTCTAAGTTTATTTTGTACAAACTTACGTTACCAAACACAATAAGCCAGCAAAAATATGAAGTTTTCGCAGAGGCTTCAAATAACAATTGTTATTGTGTAGCCATATTATATTTTACAGCTGGCAATATTATTTGTTGTGAATAAGCGTTATAATGTAATTCCCGTTTACAATTGAATAAATATATACTAAATTGTGTGCTTCCTTAGAAATAATACTTCAATGTGTACATAATATTATTTAATGTTGGCTTTAGTATTTGTATTGTGGGTCATCACGAGTTATTTTTTGAAAATATTGATACTTAAAACTCAATAGGAATAAAGGTTTTATAAATCGTAAAAGTAGGTACCTTCGTGATAGTTTCAGGAATAAAATTTCGATGAATAAATAAACATGTTGCTACTTAACTTAAATTTTCTCCAGAAACATTACCATGACTAAGACAGACAGAAGAAAATCCTTAAAAAATTCAAAACACCAAACTAAATTACACATTTGTTTTTCCATCAAAAGGTTTCCCTTTCAACTAGCCTCGCAAAAGGAAAAATATGTTAATTGCTTAGGCCTTTTTTGTTTCTTGCATGATTTTCCATTTTAATTCAACTAAGGAAAGGTCGAACAGATAAACGACGAAAATTTATACAAATAGTCTTTTCAAGATAAGGCATGCATGGCATTTAATTAAGTTGAAGTTTATCACAGCAAATACTTTTAAAAACAAAACTTTTTTTTTGCAGATATACTCCATTATGGCTGAAGTGGGTACCGAAAACATCAATCATCAATAAAATGGATCCACATATAGAACCTAGCGAGCTCTATCAAGCCATGTTGAGCACCACAACATTCAAACCGGAAAACTTCAGTGGTACTCTTAACAATTCCAGTGAAAACGAATCTTTACCATTTGAACTCGTGATACCGTTCACTATTGTGTACGCGATAATTTTCTTTACCGGTGTAATAGGAAATATAAGTACTTGTATAGTGATAGCTAAGAACAAGAGTATGCATACCGCAACGAATTACTATTTATTTAGTTTGGCTATTTCGGATATGCTATTGTTGATCTCAGGCTTGCCACCGGAAATGTATAGGATATGGAGTCCGGATACTTATATTTTCGGACATGTTATTTGTTTTTTGCAAGGATTTAGTGCTGAAACTTCTGCTAATGCAACGGTAAGTAACTTGTTAACAGTTGATTTGAAAAAAACTTAAAACTTTCATGCAAAATAAGTTTAGAGAAACAAATTCCAATTAAATAGTCAATTTAACCCTGTTCTGGAGCCGTCAAAAGCTCAGTAATCATCCATCCGTTGTTTCGAGTTTACCGCCCCCGAAACTCATTTGGAGCTTCCTGCCAAATGTAAATAAATTTGACGACCTTATTACCCGCACGAGGACGACAAGTACACAAAAAAGGGATCGATGCATAAATTTCTACATTTTGAACAATAGGAAATCCTAGACGTAATTGGCCAAAAGTGATATATTTTATATTTACATTTCGAGGGAGAAAAGTGCAACTTTTACCAATTGGAAGTATTGGCTGAATCAAAAACTTAGATTTCGAGTTACAAGTTTTGTATGTTAAACAGGCCATATTGTCCCATTTAGTTTTTCTATAGAGATAATTTGATAGCAAATTAGCTGGATTTTTTTTAATGGAATGCGCCAGCCCATAAGGAAAGACATGTTTCTAGAGCTGGTAACAAGAAATAACCTTTGATAATTATATTCTTATACGATTTGTTATTGTATCTTGAAAATTTAGGTCATGTAATCATTGCTTTGCTCCACACCCACATGCTCCGAAAATAATTCTTTCCAGCAACGGTATCAGTTACCTGACATCTAGATTCGTCATAAATCGTGGGTATGCAGAAGATTATCCTTGACTTTGAATAAATTATTACAACCAATTGTCTTGTATAGGCTGAATCAAAAACTGAGATTTCGAGTTACAAGTTTTGTATGCTAAACAGGCCATATTGTCCCATTTAGTAATTCTATAGAGGTAGTTTGATAGCAAATTAGCTGGATTTTTTTTAATGGAATACACCAGCCCATAAGGGAAGACATGTTTCGAGAGCTGGTAACAAGTAATAACCTTTGATAATTATATTCCTATACGATGTGTTATTGTATCTTGACAATTTAGGTCATGCAATCATTGCTTCGCTCCACACACACATGCTTCGAAAATAATTCTTTCCAGCAACGGTATCAGTTACCTGACATCTAGATTCGTCATAAAACGTGGGTATGCAGAAGATTATCCTTGACTTTGAATAAATTATTACAACCAATTGTCTTGTATAGGCTGAGTCAAAAACTCAGATTTCGAGTTACAAGTTTTGTATGATAAACAGGCCATAATGTCTCATTTAGTAATTCTATAGAGGTAGTTTGATAGCAAATTAGCCGTTTTTTTTTTAATGGAATACACCAGCCCATAAGGAAAGACATGTTTCTAGAGCTGGTAACAAGAAATAACCTTTGATAATTATATTCTTATACGATTTGTTATTGTATCTTGAAAATGTAGGTCATGTAATCATTGCTTTGCTCCACACACACATGCTCCGAAAATAGTTTTTTCCAGCAACGGTATCAGTTACCTGACATCTAGATAAACGTGGGTATGCAGATGATTATCCTTGACTTTGAATAAATTATTACAACCAATTGTCTTGTATAGGCTGAATCAAATACTCAGATTTCGAGTTATAAGTTTTGTATGTTAAACAGGCCATAATGTCCCATTTAGTAATTCTATAGAGGTAGTTTGATAGCAAATTAGGATGGATTTTTTTTTAATGGAATACACCAGCCCATAAGGGAAGACATGTTTCGAAAGCTGGTAACAAGTAATAACCTTTGATAATTATATTCTAACACGATTTGTTATTGTATCTTAAAAATTTAGGTCATGCAATCATTGCTGCGCTCCACACACACATACTCCGAAAATAATTCTTTCCAGCAACGGTATCAGTTACCTGACATCTAGATTCATCATAAAACGTGGGTATGCAGAAGATTATCCTTGACTTTGCATAAATTATTACAACCAATTGTCTTGTATAGGCTGAGTCAAAAATTCAGATTTCGAGTAACAAGTTTTGTACGTTTTTTGATGATCTTAACTGTTTGAGTTCTGTTCCTAAGGTAGTCGCTGATCCACGCAAGTAGAGTACCAGATATTTCAATTCTCTCAAGTCTCAAGTGATTCATCGAACAAAATAAACAAAGGACGAGATAGTATAAAGCTACACCTGCTGAGCATCAGAGGGGGGATGCCATCCGGGCCAGATCCACGAAAGATTCGTAACTTACACAGCTCCTCATAAATAACTGAAATGTAGATTTAAAATTCATGAATGTGAATGTTACTATCAGCAATGCTGTGTCTAATAAATAACACATGTTTTCAGTTTTGTCTGAGTAGGTATACAGAATGAAAGTAGGTGTGCACCGAAAAGATTAGCTATAGTTCGAGTTCAGTATTGGCGAATTTACCGTCATGAAACATGTAAGAAGGGACTCTATAAGTCTGTTGTCTAGCATTGACAAAGTTCCAGAAATGTTTTAGATTTTTATCCCTAAGCGATAACACCTCTGAGGATATGATATAAGTTGTATAGCAATCTTTGAAAAGAGTCTCACACTTATTGGGTCCTTTAGTTCAAGGGAAAACCATCTTGATTTGATACACAACAATCCATAGCCGTATAGAGAACGTCATAGAAAACCCTGGTCATTTCCGTCACATCGAGACTCTGGAGTAAAGTCATCCCAGTGAACCATCCCAAGGTTATCGTTGAGGAGTGTGTAATCAGCAGACCCAAAATCATAATAGTACGCGTCAGGCTGGAGGACGTCACTATTGCAGTAAGGTGACTTATTGTAGGTGGCAAAAAGTAAAGCAGGATGATATGCATCAATGGGGAGGATAATGTCATTAGCTAAGAGACAAGTATCCTCGGGATCTAGATTGTTATGAAAATCAATAAGATTTGAATGAATAAACTGCATTGTCCTTCTATATTTACCCCAGAATTCACAGTTTAACCTAAACTTTGGTTTAACACATAATGGATACATTATGTAAGTATGTCAAAGCCTTAATTTTTTAGTGTTACTCCAATTTTATGGAATAATCGAGTCGTTTCCTGCAATCTTCTCAAATAAATCACAGTTGCTTGCAACTTACACCCTTCATAATTCTAATAAAAATCGAATATACGCCATTCTCAGACTTAAGCTTCGATATCGAGCCAAAGTGAATTTTACGACGATAAAAAAAAAATGTCCTGGGCGAGTTATGCCGATAAAACCCCTTACCTTTACCGCTTATTTTTTCGGGGGAGCATTTCCATAACTTCGTGTCCGGAATATAAATTTCAAGATAGACCGTCGATAATTTTTTTACATACCTACTAATGTTTTTTCTATTTAGTCTCGTTAATGAAAAAAACAAAAGCTTCGAACTGATTTCTATAGAAACAATAATCAAAAAATCAATGTAATAATTTAATTATAAATAATATTTAATAATTAAATTTTGAAAATATGTTGATTGGTTAATATTTTAAAATTTTTAATGATATTTTGTGGTAAATGAAAATATCAATTCCAACATGAATTATCTCTTTGCAAATTCAATATTTTAATTTTTTCAAACCTAATTTAGTTTGTCTTATTATAGGTTATTAAAAATTTCATTTCATTCTTCTAAGTTTTTAATTTTTTAAATCTACTAATTTTATGAAAATGCAAATTTAAAGGAAGTTTATGAATACATTTTATTTTATTTTGCAATATTTGTAAGGGTTTTAAATTAGGTTTTCAGTGATACAATATTTATTTGAGATATTAAACATGTAGGTAGTATTTATTATCGAATTCTATATAATAAATAATCCAATTGCAGCCTGATATTTCGCTTCGAATAAATTCAATAATATTATGTTCCAATACCTACTTTACATTTTTACTACCTATATTCTATAATATTTCCATTGAAAAAATAATATTGGTGGATTTTAGAATTTGAGTTTGTTTTATTTTTCATTAATGTATTTATATTATTCCAGATTTCTTTTCGATTATTTGTTAATATACATATTTTTCCCTAAAATATTTTTGCTAATTTGTTCTAATCATGCCTGTAACATATTTATTAAATTCACTATAACTTTCAGTAAAATTTAAATTCTAGATATAATTTATTTCTTCTTTTTATTAATTTTACTAATTCTTCATTAAACCATGGTTTGCTGTTTTGTTTAATTTTCAATGAGTTTATGTATGAGCTATCAGTGAACCGTTTTCCTAGTTTATTATAAAATTGGTTTGGATCAAGAAAGGGATGTTTTTTATTATTTAGTTCAAATATATTTTCCTTTAGTTGAATATCATGTTAACGAATCGGCCTTTAATGAGTCGAGTGTCGTCTTTCCCTCTCTTCTTATGTTGTGAACTGTATTTACTTGATTGTTGAATCTTTTTGGTAACCTATGCGGAACGCGCGATGCGTGTTACTATCCGCAATGAAAAATTGAAAATTTTCGTTTATCATTTCGTTGCAAATGGTAAATGTTGCAACCCTGTGTGCGCTGTGAAGTTTTTCGGAACGAGGGCGCGCCACGTAAAATGAAAGAACCGAAGCGAAGGGGAGATAGAAAATGAGAGACTAGACCAGAGAGAAAAAGGTTGTCTGCCATTATTCAGTATTCAATTTTTATTTTATATTAAACTGATTGTTCAACCAATTAGTTTCTGTTTCATAAGGAGCATTCACAGGTCAGTTGTTTTCGAGAGTTTAATTTATACAAGTATTATTTATCGTTTCATGCTGTAAACAATGCAGATAAATAGTAAATTAAAACCGAAGAAATTATGTGCTGGGATTTTAATTTTTGGTATTCAGACCGTACATTAGGGCCTTGTTGAATATACTAACACTTTCCTTGCCTGACGAGCGAATATCCTGGCAAACAAATTGAAAAATCAATTTAGAGAGGCTCAAAATAACAACTATAGCTGAGTACCCTTCCGTACGGGACCTCAGTACCTGCTGGTGAAACTGGCTAACTAACCAAAAACTCTTCAGTATTGAATTTAGGTAGTGTTGATTGAATGTAGTGTGTCTACTTGAAAATTTAGCACAAGAA